CTTCCGAGGAGTGGCTGGTGGGTTTGAACCGCCAGCCGTCTGGTTAGCAGGCAAGTGTCTTAGCCACTATGCTACCAGAGTAGCTTAAATAAAAAGATGAAAATGTTTTTCTCAGATAAAGGAAGTCTGAAAGTTGGAGCGATCTAAGATAGCACTGACCCGGGCCTTTGACTTCTCCTACATGTGGTTTCAAACCTCATGATGGCTGCTGGAGCTTCAGCCATTATATTTCATTATAAGCATCTGAGAAGGAGAAAGTGGCCATTTAAACAGCCTTCTTGGAAGCTCCCCAAGCATGTCTGCCTTTTTACCTCAATGGCCAGAATTTGGGAGCTCTGGTGGCATAGTGCTAACCAGAAGGCTGGCGGTTCAAACCTGCTAGCCACCTCTTGGAAGGAAGACTGGGCATTCTACTTCCGTAGTGATAACACCTCAAAAACCCAAGGAGGGATCGCGATGAGTTGAATCAGACTTGATGACAGTGAGTTTGTTTGTTTGTTTTTGGCCAGAATTTAGTCACATGGCCATGAAGAGCTGTAGAAATGTTTACTTTTAGCTAGGTTGCAATGTGCTAATGAGCTTCTGTTGCTAAATAGTAAAGGAAGAAGCTAGAATATTCAACAAATGCTTGCTGGTACAATAATTACTTTGAAATTCTCAGGTCCTTACTCTAATACATTCCTACAGCATTACCAAATAAATTAATATGCTACATTAAGCCTAAACCAAAAACCAAACTCGCTGCCATTGAGTCGATTTCAACTCATAGTGACCCCTCCTTGGGTTTCTGAGGCGGTAGGTATCACCACAGAAGTAGATTGCCCAGCAGTCTAGCTCTCATGTTTTTCTTTCCTTCATTCCTCTTCCCTCCCCCAAAGTGTATAGTTGTTCTCCATTGACTACTCCAAAATGTTTCCATTAAATGACCATGATACAGCCCAAACCAGTTTTCATGTGGCCCATAATGCAAGAAACATTTGCTGTCCCCTAAATATTCCCCGTACTTTGTTCCTGGACTTTTATTATCACTTCAGAAGTGGTTTTTTGTTTTTTGTGGTTTTTTTTTTACTTTTTTCCAACCTGTATCCATTTAATCTTCACAATCTGCCTCATTCCACCACTTGCTATGATTCTTCCCCTAATCCTAAGTAGATCTCCTCTGTTGTCTCAACATACTTTGTATCCTTTATATGACACTTAACACATTTTCCCTGTCATTAAACTCATTTGTAGATATTTATCTTTTGTGCTCAAAACTGGTAATATGTTTTACTCCCTACAGTGCTTAGCATGTGGAAGAAATGAATGCACCAACAATGTGGAAGTGCATCCCAAGTTTGAATCAATACTTACATGACTGTCTAGCATTATTCAGTGATACCTGTGGCTATTTTTAAAATGTATAAAATTAACTTTAATACCTTTTAGGGCTACCTTCCATGTGTCTAAAAATCAAACCAAACTCATTGCTGTTGAGTTGATCCCGACTTATAGCAATGCCTCTTTGGATTTCCAAGGTGGTATCTCTGTGGAAGCAGATTGCTCAGTCTTCCTTTCTAGGAGTGGCTGGTGGGTTTGAACAGCCAGCCTTCTAGTTAGCAGTCAAATGCCTTAGGCATTATGCTACCAGAGCTCCTAAGGCCTGTCATTTTGGCAAATAATTGATGTGAACTTTCTAAAACTTACAGTTCAGAACCATTTCTTTTTAACAGATCGTAGTTTAAGAAAGTCATACATACTGTCAGCATCAAAATTGAGAACTCAATTCTGAAATATTTTTTTGTATGCCTTATGGCTAGAAATCAATTTAGTTCCTGGTTAATTTTAAATCTCTTAAAATATCTTTTATATACTTTTTTTCATTATTGTTCAGGCAGAACATTTGGTTGCTTCTCTTATAGCAACCAGGAAAAATCTCTTCCAAATTTTCCTCCTTAGAGCCCTCAACTCTTAACTCCCTCTTAATTCCTTTAATAAAGATTAAAAGTTGATCTTAGATGTTTCTCAAGGGGTTATTAATTGTATTGTTTTCTCCTTTTTCTTTGTAAGTTTCAATTTCCATGTGGTAATTACTATCATCTAATAAAATTTTCATGCTCTTACATCTTAAAAGGAAATGTTTCTCAAAAACATTAGGGGGGGAAGACTACATTTTAATTAATTTTTTTTTTTTTTAAGGAAAACAAAGATGATGAGCGAGTTCCTGCTTTGAATTTATTAATCTGCTTGGTTAGCAGGTATAGTTTAAGTCATTCTTGGCTTCTTGCTTTATAATAGTGTTATCACTGGTGGTAGGTACTATTGTATCCATTTTACAGTTGAGGAAAATGATGTCTAAGAAAATAAAATTTTGTATGTATTGTAATTTATTTAATCATTCGCCTGTTGTTTTTCATTTTTCTTTTAAATAATGCTGCATTGAAGGTCCTTACATATACAGCTGTTTATTGCTAAGAATAAATTCCTAGAAAAAAAGGGTATGTACTTTTAAAACTGAGGTACTTGACAGTTTGCCTTCCAGAAAGTTCTTCCTGGACTTGATATTTTGTTTGATTGAACAGTGTTTTTATTCCATGCCTTTCTATATCTTTATGATATATTTAAATATTGGGGAGATAAGTAATCCTGAGGAGCTCTGGTAGCATACTGCCTAAGGCACTTGACTGCTAACCAGAAGGCTGGTGGTTCAAACCTACCAGCCACTCCTTGGAAGAAAGGTTGGGCAATCTACTTCCATAGCGAGACATTGGAAACCCAAGGAGGGGTCACTATGAGTCAGGTCTGACTTGACGGCACACAACAACAATAACAGGAAGCAATCCTGATCTTCTCTACCCTTTCCCCACACAATACGTTTTTTTCAGGATACGCTTATTCAGCATCTAGTTCTATAACAGCGATCCTGATGATGATTATTAACACACATTGTGCCAAACACTGTTCTTAATGCTTCACAGTGGGAACTTACTTAATCCTCTTAAGATAGATATTACCACTTGATAGATGAGGAAACCATGGCAGAGAGAGGTTAAGAAACTCCTACAATCACAAAGCCAGTAAATGACAGAGCAATACCTACCTCATCTATTATTGGTCGTAGTAGTGCTACATTAATATCTTAATGTGTACACTAAATTCTTGTTTTGATAGGTATTTTGACCAACGTGATTTAGCAGATGAGCCATCTTGATGTACTGATCTCTGAAAGATAGAAGATATTTGTGGTAAAGGCAATCTAAGTCTGAGGAAGTGCGATGCCAATTCAAGTACAGATTGCATTACATCTTCAACACTATGAGATGGGTCCTTAACCTCTGCAGCTCAAGTTGATATTCAGAAGATCATTTTTGCTCTTTTGAATGTGTGAAACATCTATAGAAAATCTCACCCAATTTGTGATTGATTACCCGTTTGAACAGTTCTCTGCAATCACATGCTTTTAAAACTAATTGAATGCCAATTATTGCTAAAGCATCCTGTATATAAATTGTATCATGAAATTGTACAGTAGGTCATTGGTGCTGTTTCATTATTTATATACATACATATAAAACTTTATTGAAAATGTTTGGGTTACTTAAAATTTTCTTGACTCTTGAACAAAACAAAAGATAATTGATAATTGATAAATGTCCTCAGCATTAGAATTGAAATAATCTAAATAGCAAAGTGTTCATAGTCTAAAATCAATAAAATTAGTCAAGCTTTTTTCTTTTCACCCTATTATCTTTATTTTTCTTTATTACACAGATTTCTTTTCTTTTCTTTTTTTTAAACAAGCTCTTCATTTAATAAGTCTGAATTCGTTTTCACCACGTAGTATTACACATGGTCATCTGTTGAAACATTTCTTTTTAACAGATCTTAGTTTAAGGAAGTCATAGATGCTGTGAGTTTATAACTGGTGACTGGCGGATAGCACGTTAGTTCCTTTGTTTTGACTTATAATCCTCAGCCTCACCACTGAATAAAGAATGTAGGCCAAACAAAACGTAATCAGTCACTCATATAGAACAGTATTGTTTCTACAATTTGAAGCTTTCTGAATGGATAGGTTCAGGCCTGATGTAACTGTAAAAAGGTTACTTAGTGAATAATAGAATATGGAAATTGTACAAAATGTTATTAACTTCAATTATTAATAGCTTAAACAGCACTATCTTACCAACTCCCGTTCAAAATAAAACTTTTTTTTAATCCCCAAAAGGTAGCATGTGTACATAACCATGCCACCTTGTACTTAGGGTCATTGTCAATACATATTTCAACAGAAACTTTGGCTTTAGGAAAGACTTACAAATATTTAAAACAATGGCTTTAATAATCATTTTAAATATATGATAGGGGAAAGGTACTTTAATTAAATACATCATACCAGTGATGCTGTCAAGGTTGAAAGTTACTCCTGATGTTGATAGTAATAAAAACTAGTTGGTACATGAAAGGACAAGGAGAGGGATAAAAGCAGTCCCTTCAAAACCAAAAAAAAGTTCACAGTGATTTATGTTAACAGTATGCATTTCATGATGGTAAGATGTACAGATTCAGAGTACCCTAGGGCTCTCCTAATGAGCATTTATGTCATTCCTGGATTATACAGAATTTAAAAGAGATCAATTGTATACCCCTCACACAGGATAAACTGTTCTGGGGTGTACAGTTTTAACACCATCATTAAAGTTTGCAAAAGGAACAGAATTTTAAAAAACTTTTCTTGGAGTGCAGTCTTCCATTTGGTGTTATAATCAGCAAATGTTATTCAGTAAATCAAAAATGGAGGGGACATACAAACACATATCTATTTGAGCAAGCTGAGCAGTATAAGTTACAGTTTTAGAAATGAAAGTTATATACTCTGTTCCAAGTCCCAACTAGGCAGTGTCAAAATGACATCTATTTCTTCACTTGCTTTGTGATCATACCCCTTGGTGGTGGTACGGGTCTAGTGGCATTCAACTGCTTTTTCTCTGCAGGCTTTAAAATCTGAAAAGAATACATTAGTGATTCATCCACACTCACCCTGGCACCTGCATTGTCAAATTCTCCACAATAATTAGGTGTAGAAAACTGACTGACTGTTAGCAAAAAATTCATATCCATCTTCAACCACCTGATGGGCTTTACATACAAGATCCAAATCATGCTTATTGAGAAATTTTGCAACCACTTTTGCACCAAATGTGAAGGACACTCCTGTCATTTTCACTACAGCCTATGACATCTTTATCAGGGTCAGACCACAAAAGATCACAAAGAAGACCTTGGTCTGGTACATCAGTTAGTTGTATAATTCACTGAATCTGCTCCATAGATTGAAGATCTGGTGATAAATTGCCGTGACAGCACAGTATCTTCTCAACCATGATGGCAGCTATTGGCAAACAGTTAAAGCAGTCTGTGAACGTTTTCCAGAGTTTATTGTTGTATCTTCTTTTACATTCATCATAAAATCTATAAATTCTATTGAGGCTGACACATTTGTGGTTCCCTCTGAGAAGAAACAAGTTCTCAGGATATTTGATTTTGTAGGCCAGTAAGAGGCAGATGGTCTCCAATGACTCCTTTCCTATGTCCACATAGTTGTCAAGAAACGGTTGCTTTCTGGTGGAAAACCACCGTACTCAAAAAGTCGAAGCAAATCTTAGTATTGCCAACGGGTATTTTGAGTGCCACGTATTTTGAGTGGTGCTTCAAGTTCTGGTAGGATAGGCTGACTGAGAAAGATCTCCCGGAGACTTCAAGCACAGTTCTTCGATTTCATTCTCTTGTAGCTGGACGTTCTTACCAGGCTTAGACCCTCTCACTTCCAGCAGCCCTTGGATGATGCTGTGGATATTGAGCTTATCTATATCCGCCATCGCCTTCCCCACCTCCGACCCTCCCGCAGCGGCACCACCCACCGCAGGCTTGCGCCTGGGACTCACACCTCCTTCCCCAAGCCAAGAGCACAAAGGCGGTACTGGCGGTGGCAGCAGCCGCGGCGGCTCCCCGCTCCCCAAGCTGCCCGTTCCCTGCTTCCTTCTTCACTCCCCACTGGAACCACCAGCACTGTTTCTTTTCTTAATCATTTTCAATATCAGTATTATTATAGGTCAACTATTTTGAATTTTCTACTTGAATCTTTTGTTCCTATAATTTATTTTTGTATCAAGTTGTTGCTGTTGTTATGTGCCGTGGAGTCAACCCCAACTCATAGCGACCCCTCCTTGGGTTTCCGAGGCAGTATCAACTACGGAAGTAGATTACCCCATCTTCCTTCCGAGGAGCTTGACACTGATATTGGTTCTGTGACTGTGATAACAAGTTCGGCTGATACTCTTTTGGCCTTTCCTTCATGGTAAAATATGGTTGCTGAAGTTCAAGGAATTGTTTCTGTATTTAAGGCAGAGCCTTCTGCATCTGATCATTTATAACATGATCACCTCTAGCTCCATGAAAAGCAGGGAAATGAAGTTGTAAGCCTTTCCAGACTCTCAAATGAGAGGTGCAAAAGAAAAGCTTACTGTGAATAACCCTGGCAACCAGTTACTTTGCCACAAGAAATAATTGGAGCCAGTTTAAGATTATATTTGAAACTTTCCTGTTGTCACACCTTCATAAAGCTTTTTATTAAATGGTAGCCTAATTAGCAATCTATATACTACTAGCTCTGTGGCAGCCTCACATTTTCTGCTGATAAATGATACTCACATATTTGGAGAAGGGAACTCATTTAATAACGGTAGTATGTCATTTATTGTTTTAATTTGTATTTGTTCCATTGTTAGTGGCTGAGCGTATACTTTTTGGACACTGCTTACATCCCAAAAACCAAAACCAAACTCACAGCCTTCGAGTTGATTGCGACTCATAGTGATCCCTCCTTGGGTTTCTAAGGTGCTCTCTTTGAAAGTAGACTGCCCCACCTTCCTTCGGAGGAGTGGCTAGTGAGTTTGAACCGCCAGTCTTCTGATTAGCAGTCAAATGCCTTAGGCACTGCACCACCAGAGCTCAGGAGAATAAAACTCACGAGGATACCTCTATTTACTAGAAAGCTGGATGATCTCTAAATAGTTAACTGAAAACCCGTTTCTGTAATGAATGACTTAACCTGGTAGTAAGGATATTTTTCAGGAGTATAGAAACAAGACATTATAAACCAATGGTGTAATAAAGTATGCACACTATCAGCATACCCCTAAAGTTTATCAGGGCTTTGATAATTAAAGGTATCTTCTGATATTAATGAGAAAATCAAAAGAAAAAAGTCCTCCAAGTCTTAACATAGGTAGAAAGCCTTAGATCTGTTGAGAAATTACACATTTTAAATACAGAATTTAAAGGTGGCTGTTAATATAAAATAGCTATAAAATGGTAGTTTAATCAGATTTCTGGAAGCAGTGACCAAGTAAATTAGATTACATCTGTATTTATTTCCTATGATTAATGGGGCATTTTTATTATGTTTTTATCAAAACTGTATTAATTTCTTTAAAAAAGTATATATTTTTTTCTCTTTTGTACTCCTCGGCAGAATAAACAGACTGGAGGCTGATTAGATTATAACTGATTTAAGATCATTGGTTCTACCAGTTTAATTGGGGGTTCTGGTGGCATAGTGCCTAAGGCATTTATTTGACTGCTAACCAGAAGGCTGGCAGTTCAAATCCACCACCCACGTCTCAGAAAGAATGACTGGGCGACCTAATTCCATAGAGAGACTGCCTTGGAAACCCAAGGAGGGGTCACTATGAGTATTGGGAGATCAATGCTTTTTTTGTCCATACTGACATAATATTCTGTTATATATGTTACCAGGTCCCCACCCTATATCTAAGAAAATGTTTCCCAAAGTATGTGCCCTGGAATACTGGTTTATGTGAGCTGCTGTTTCCAGAGAAAATGGTACTATAAATACTAGGTTAAACAAAATTAAGCTGTTACTGTTTGATATTTCAGAACGTGCAGCATGCCATTAATGTGCATATTAAGAATGTTCTAAACAGGATGGATATATTCCGCAGCATTTCAAAATATAGTTGAGCACAGAACTAACTTTTCAGAGTATTTTGAAAAAGTAAGTTATACCCAGTTTCTTCATTAACTTTGATAACCCCAAAATTTGTGCCAATCTCAGTACTTGCAGCCAGTTTAATGTTTACCCAGGTGCTAAAATGGCAAGGAGGCCACATGTTCCGACCTCCTCTAATCCCACGAGAGGAAGACAGGATTACCAGCAGTAACCCAAGGCCTATTACTGCAAGGCCAAACA